AATTCAAATGCAAAATATTTGGTTTTCTAAGTATTATCTAACCTCAGTATACATTTATTCGACAGGAGCTTATTGTTTGGCAATAAACAGATTTGGTCTTTTATAAGATAACCTGGAAAGTTTGCAAATAATAAAGTCTGATTAAACTTACTATTTTTAGATTTCATTTATAAAACCTATTTCCACAAACATACTACATCAATAACTGTTTTTATTATCAAAATGATTTTTTTTTGGGGGGGTGCATCCCACGCTAGTTAAGGTCTCTACCATGGAGCTACATCCCAAGCCCAAGTTTTTATTTCTGAATGGTCATTAAAAGATATTAAAACTTTCACTCATTAAGTCACTCAGCAACAGAATTTTATTTTACTCCTTCTCTCTAAATTATTTTTGTATTTATGAAAAGTTGGAGATATACTACTACACTATACTGAGATGTTCTTTTATTCTAGGAAGAAAAAAAGGAATATCACATAAGACAAAAGAAGAAAGCAATTTGGGTATACCTGAGATTCATGGAAAATGCTGAACAAATACACTTTGTACCTAATAACTCACAGAGAGTGTTACAAGAAGTTTCTATGAACAATGAGATTCAAATTTTGTCTTAAACATACACACATACTGCAATTCTGTTAGTGTCATTATTATTATTACATGAGAAGAGGTTTGGAAGTCAGGAAGGAGAAATCACACAAAACCCTATCATATAACCGAACTACCTTGGGTTAATTATGCATTACGGGGGAAGACAGCTGCCATTTCAAGAGATATTTTTACTCCTTGCTACTTACTAGGCAAATAAGTAATGGATCCAGAAATAACTAGCAGATGCAACTAAGCGAATGTCAACTACCAGTGCTAGATATTGGGAACTAATCCCTGCCATCTATTTCAGCAAAGGAACAAGGTGAAACATAGGGGCAAGACTAAAAACAAAACTATTAGAAAACATAAGGTGAAGGGGTCCAGAAAAGGAACCAGAAAAATTAGAACAAATTGGACATCACTTTCCTATATTCAAATATATTTATATATGAATATGTGACCAGCGAAACTCCACATCATATTCAACCTCTTCTCAAGAATGGGAAGTTATACTCCATGTTATGTGTGATGTGTCAAAATACATTCTACTGCCATGTATATCTAAAAGAATTTTAAAAGAAATTGTCACAAAAGCTAGGGGAGATTTATCATTGGAGCTTTTGGGAATGTAACAATGTTCTTTTTTTTAAATGTCTTTATTTTATTTATTTATTTTTTTTTTTATGTGGCGCTGAGGATTGAACCCAGTACCTCACAAGTGCAAGGTAAGCACTCTATCACTGAGCTATAACCCTAGCCCCAACAATGTTTATTTTTAACTTGGGTAGCTGTTTCATGACTGTTCATTTACACACACACACACACATTTTTGCAGGGGGAGGACAGCACTGGAATGCTGAGCTATATCTCCAGTTCTTTTTATTATTATTTTAACTTCCTGATTATCTCACCCAATCCCTTCCAATACCTTCAGTATCTCAAATCTAGAATACTTATATTCCCTGTTGAACCCAAAGGCTTCCTGGGGCCCAGAAAACTAAACTTATAAGGGCTTCTTTATGAACAAGTATAGGTGTTATATATATATAGGGATAGGATCATTCTCGTTCCCTGGGAGCTCTCAGTTCCCAGAGCACAAGAACTCAACAATAGTAAATCTCCAGGATCTGTGCTTCATTATGGACACACTTTTTGAGTATCAGGGCTGCGTGTCTCAAAGTATTTCCTTTCATTCACCCAGTGGTAGAGTGCTTGCCTAGAACCGGTAAAGCACTAGGTTTGATCCTCAGCACCACATAAAAACAAATAAATGAAGATAATTAACAAAACAAAAAATAATGCCACTTATGTTGGCTTTCTATGACTGTATAACAAATTTTTTTCTTTTTTCTTTTTTAAAGAGAGAGAATTTTTTTTAATATTTATTTTTTAGTTTTCGGCGGACACAACATCTTTGTTTGTATGTGGTGCTGAGGATCGAACCAGGGCCACACGCATGCCAGGCGAGCGCGCTACCGCTTGAGCCACATCCCCAGCCCTGTATAACAAATTAACAAAAATTTAGGAACTTAAGCAACACAAACATGTTATCTACTTTCCAAGTGTGAGAAGTCCAATGTGTTAGCTGCTGAAATCCAAGGGGCTTTGATTCTTATCTAAGGCTCTCTGGCTGTTATAAACCCTTAGTTTCTTTCATTGCTAAGACTGAGGCTTCGGGGCTGGGGATGTGGCTCAAGTGGTAGCGCGCTCGCCTGGCATGCCTGCGTACGGCCCGGGTTCGATCCTCAGCACCACATACAAACAAAGATGTTGTGTCCGTGAAAACTAAAAAAATAAATAATAAAATTCTCTCTCTCTCTTTAAAAAAAAAAGACTGAGGCTCCTCTTTTCCTGGTAGCTGTTAGCCAGGAACCACTCTCTAGAGCAACTTGAGGTTGCTTTCAGTTCCCTGCCATGGAAGTCTCCATGGGCAGTTTATAACAACAGGCTGTTTGCTTTCCCCAAGCCAGGAAGAGTCTTTTAGACAGGGCCTCACTTAGGCTGGCTTTGAATTTGTAATCATCCTGACTCAGCCTCACCAGTAGCTGAGATTATAGCAATTCCATTACAACTGACTTCTTTTTATAATTATGGACAAATCGTATTCTTACATTTTATAAACTTTGCTCTTGACATATTCCATAATGAACAGCATTGATCTTTAACAGCATTATGCTATAATATTCAAAAAATGAAAGCATTAGCCATTTAGAGAAGATACAAATAAGATAAACAAATTTTAATATGCCAATATAGTGCTCTTTTTATGGCAGGGAAGAAGGAGGGGTTCTAGAGAGTGAATCCAGGGGAGCTTAACTGCTGAGCAACATCCCCTCCCACTTTTTTGGTACCAGGGATTGACTCAAGGACACTCAACTACTGAGCCACACCCTCAGTCCTATTTTGTATTACTTTGAGAGACAGGGTCTCACTGAGTAGATTTTTCTAAGATTAGCTTTGATCCTCCTGTCTCAACCTCCAGAGCATTGCACAGGGAAAAATTTATTTTGAGACAGGTTCTTCTTACTAAATTGTTTAGGCCTTCTCTTTGTTGCTGAGGCTGGCCTTTAACCTGGGATTCACCTGCTTCCACTTCCCAAGTAGCTAGTTTTACAGGCATGTGCCACCACATCCAGCTCAATGTAGTGTAACTTATTTATTTTTATTGAAGAATGGATGTTGATTTTGTGCTTGACAGTCTCTAAGATGGCCCCAAAGTTCACTACTTCCTGATATTTGTGCTCTTACATTGTCCTGTCCACCAAACAGCACTGATCTACATAGGCACCATGAAAACACCATAGGTTCCTCTTTGCCCTTTTATTTCAGGGTGGGGGGTGCATGTAAAACTAACCTTCCAGGCCAAGGGAATATTTAAACAGTTCTATGACGAAGAATTGAGGCCTCCAGCCAACAGCCATCAAGGATATATACTGGGGATATAGCTCAGTTGGTAGAGTGCTTGTCTTGCATGCACAAGGCCCTGGGTTCGATCCCCAGCACCACCAAAACAACAACAACAAAGAAAAAAAAAAAAAACACCTATGGCCTCAAACAGGGAGTCTGGAAGTGACTCTGCATCTATAGCACACTCCTTTCAGTAGTCAAGTTTCTAGATGACTACAACCTCCTGACACCCTCTGCCAAAAAGCACCCTTGTCAACTGCTCTTCAATTCCCAACTCACAAAAGAACATAATTGTTGTTCAGAGATACCACAGGTTTTGAGGTAATCTGTTAAGCATCAACATATATTCATATACACTTTACCAATGAATTCCTTAGACTACTATTTAGAAACTAGATAGCTTACGCCTATCTGAAAATGTTTCAAATGCTCTCTATTGCTCATAGAATAAAACCTCAACTCCTCACTATGGCTGACAAAACACTCATGATCTGGCATCTGCCCATCTTTTCACCATCACCTGGTTCCAATCCTTATCTTCTCAACTTCACTGGACACTTCTGGCATTTTCTTTTTCTCCCAATGTTCCCTTTTTCTTTATCTAAGACCTTTTCTCTTATTGTTTCTGGGCTTAGGAATGTTCGTCCCTACATTCTTGGGAGTATTTTATTCTGCATAGTTTGCCTCTTTATTTAGCTCACTCTATAGATTTTTTTAAATATTTTTTTTAGTTGTTGATGGACGTTTATTTTATTTACTTATTTATATGTGGTGCTAGGAATCAAACCCAGTGCCTCACAAGTATGAGGCAAGTGCTCTAGCGCTGAGCTAAACTCCATCCTGCACTCTATAGTTTTTTCTGGAAAAAGGATGTATCTCTCTGTTGCTCAGACTGGCCTGCAATTCATGGGCTCAAGTGATCCTCCTGATTCAGTTCCCTAATAGCTGTGTCTGTGGGCATATGCATCCAAGCCCAACTTCACTCAATTCTCAGTTTCAATATTCCCTCTCCAGAGAAACCTGCCAGGATGACCTATACTTAATAAGAAAATCCCGGAAGGATCACAGCTGAAACAGAAACAAGATAAAACCATCACCATCAAATCAATATAAAATTGAAGTGATCTGAAGAAATAAATTCATAGAATAAAATTGATAGGAGAATATAAATTCATTACTATAGAGAATATGTAGCTGAGATACACAAGGCAAATAAACTGGAAAGGAAACATCTAACACCTGAGAACAAAACTTTTAAAAAGCTCTGAGGGAAAACTGGTTTGTTTAAAAAAAAACAAAAAACTGGTTATTTAAAATAAAAATGACAAGTGTTCAATATTCTAAAGGTGTACATCTAGCAATAACATGCAAAACACAGGCAAAAACAGAAAACTTCCTTGTTATCACCTTGTGGCTATTTTTCTGATCCAAACTTTCATGGGACCGCCCCCCAAAAGCATTTAACCTGTATTTTCAAGCATTTCCAAATATCAAGTACTTACCCACTTAGCAATTGGACACCCATGAGAGCTTTTTCCTTCTTTTCCTGTGTATACAATTTGTTCTAGCCTTACTGCCTTTCCTTTATGGCCATACCTATTACAAAGCAGAGTGGAGGGAATACACTAATTAACTACAATCTACACTTGAAACAATTTGTTTTTAATTGCTATGAACAGAAGTTAAAAAAAAAAAAAAAATCAAACAGTCCTCGTAAATTTACTTTTGCCAAAAAATTGCTTTTATGTGGCAGACATTTCTATTTCTATTTCATAGTTCTTCTTACTGATCCTTAAAGATCACTCTTTAAAATTAAACTGAGTCCAAGACAAGCAACAGGAATGCAGGGTTAACTTAATGTTGGCAGTGTTAATTTGAACTATTCTCACATTATATAATATATATATGAATAAGGATTCCTGAATTAATTATAGACAATTAGCCTTGCTTCCTGAGAGTCTTTTTAAGCACCCAGCAGCTCATAAGGAGGACTCAGGAGAACATATGGGCATTTTTCTTCTGAGCCCTAACAAACATCCAACTCATACTCCTCAAAATTCTCTATTCACCTCATATTTGTTCCCAGAGATAAACTTATCTGCACTGAGTCAGGTCCACAATAAAGAATGATTTTAACAGGGAAACACATTTCCTCACCTATTCTCCATGATTTCCCTGACAGCAGCAATACTTGGTCCTGCCCCAAGGTGTGTATAATATGGGCCTTTGTCTTTTTGTATACCTCGATCTGCGGAAGGAATAAGATTATTAGACCCAAAGCCTTACAAAATTTCATAGGGGCAAGGAGCTCTTATACTATTTTTGCTTTGTTTTTGTTTTAATTCAGAACCATGAATCTTTTCAAGATCTTAGTCAGCGAGGTTTTCCTGCTCCTAATGTTCTTTCTTTCTTTTTTAAACCATCAGAGGATGGGGTGGGTCATCTTTATTGTCTGATCTCCCCCTTAAAAAAAAAAATTATAACTAAGGCACAAATTAAAACTTATCCAAGACTGATAGGTCTGAGAAGCTTGACCTCAATTCCTTTTAAAATTGAGCCTATCAATTTCCCTACTAAGAACTTATCTTACTTCACACACAATTATGTATTTAGATTGGAAATATACAAGAATGAAATTATGTATTTAGATTGGAAATATACAAGAATGTTCATTGCTACAATTACCAATAGTATCAAAAAAGGGAACCAACCTTAACAAAAATCCCAGCAAATGATAAGTTAAATAAATCATAGGAAGTTTATACAGAATACAATAAAGTTACTGAAAAATAATATGTATAAACATTTTAAAAAGCTGAAAAGAAATTTAAGCTATAAAATTAAAACAGCAAGTTGCAAAGTGGTGCTTTGAAAAACCTACATTCAAACCAGAGACAAAATAAAAATCAGCAATAATGTTTATTCATATAGAAAAGTATAACAGGGATTTTTTTCTCAGAGAATAGAGAAAGATATTTACATACTTCTGATTTAGAATCATGTGTAACTAGAATCACTGGGGAATATCTGTATTTTATGCATTTCTGACCATGGTGTATCTAAACAAAAAAGTCAGTGATCATTTTGACTGGACATTAAATATAATATAGAATCACTTATGTGGTTTTGTTTTCCTTTTTTTTTTTTTTTTTTTTTTTAATACCAGGGACTTAACCATTGAGCGACATCCCTAGTCCTATTTTGTATATTGTTTAGAGAAACAGTCTCACTGCATTGCTCAGGCCTCACCTATTTACTGATGCTGGTTTTGAACTTGTGACCTTCCTGTTTCTGCCAGGAATACCAGCACTGCCCAGCTTTCTGTGGCTTCTTAGGCAAGGTACATAGATGAGATCTTAATTTATTGGGCATCTAGAGCACTAGTTGTTACTACTGATCTAAAGCAGGGGCAGTTTTGCCCCAGGGGCAACATTTGGCAATATCTGTAGACATTTCTGGAAGTAATAATTTGTCAGGTATGTGTGTTAGTCCTGCACACTAGCACTAATATCCAGTGAATAGCTCCACAGGCTGAGACAGGAGGATCCAGAGTTCAAAGCCAGCCTCAGCAATGGCAAGGTGCTAAGCAACTCAGTGAAACCTTGTCCTTTTTTTTTTTTTTTTTAATATTTATTTCTTATTGTAGTGCTGAGGATCGAACCCAGGGCCTTGCAAGGGCTGAGTGCTCTACCGCTGAACCACAACCCCAGTCTCCTAAAACTGTTTTTAAATAAAATACAAAATAGTACTGGGGATATGGCTCAGTGGTTGAGTGCCTGCCCCTGAGTTCAATCTACTGCCCCCCCAAAAAAACTAGAAACTTGACCCAAATTTGTTGTAGATAGGGCAAGGAAAGTATTATTTTCCTTAGCTAATGCTAGGTGCTCCCCCCAAAAAAATCAAATCCCACAATGCACAGGACAGCCTCCTGTGTTCTAAAATGCTGATAATTAGGGCTGGGATATAGCTCAGTGGTAGAGGGCTTGTTTAGATGCACAATGCCCTGGGTTCAATCCCTAGTACCACCAAATAAATAATAGTGTTAAATTTGAGAAACACTAGACACTTATTACTCCACTTCACTAGAAAATAATGCCCCTGAAGGAAAGCCATTACCCTGCCTTACTTGATGATCCTACTTGGTCATCCTACACATGTGAGCACAGTACCCTCAGAGGTAAACGATTAGACATAGATGTGACAGTGTATATCATAGTTTAATACTTGGTTGTGACTGGTTACTTTGCATGAGGAAAGGGTCTTGAAAAAAAGATCACCATCTATTAGAACCATCCATACAATTAAACTAGACTTGTACAGGTTATGTATTGATTTTTTGAATTGCTGGCCTTTTTTCCATTTGTAATTATACACAGAAACACATTCTTCCTCTTATTCTTTGGATTGTTGAAGAAAGAGACAGTGGAAATTATAAGAATGGGCTCTAGTTGACACTGCCTGTCTCCTAATCCCAGTTCAGTCACTTTCAGATTGTGAATATCTCTGGGTCCCAAATTTCCTCATTTGTAAAATAGTAATAATTGATAATAAGTATTCCCTATGCAAGAATGTTGTGAATTTTAGAAGGCATGGCATAGAACCAGACTCATAGTAGGAGCTACAGATGGTGAGCCATTTACCACTGTTAGTCTAAGAATCTCTCTTGGTTTCAGCCAGGCATGCCTGTAATCCCAGCGGTTTAGGAGGCTGAGACAGGAGGGTCAGGAGTTCAAAGACAGCCTCAGCAATTTAGGGGGACCCTAAGCAACTCATCCAGACCCTGTCTCTAAATAGAATATAAAAAAGGGCTGAGGATATGGCCAAGGGGCTGAGTGCCACTGGGTTCAATCCCTGGCAATGAATGAAGACCTCTATGTTTCAGTTCAACTCTCTTCAGACTGTGCAGTGCTTCCCAAAAGAGTGTACCCTGGCACAAGGTTGTAAACACAGTAGCCATCTACAGATGAGTCACATGCCCAGCCTTTTTTATATTTTGAGACAGGATCACAAAGTTGACAAGGCTGGCCTCAAATTTGTGATTCTCCTGCCTCAACTTCCCAGATTCCCTGGGATCACAGGGATGCACCATCATGTCCAACATTTGGGCCATAATTTAAGTGATACTGTATTAATAACTAAACCTATTTAGATGGGGTTCAAAACAAGTTCTTTCACAAATTCTGTCCTGTAACAATTCTATAATCACTGAAATAAGGGGTTTTAATGAGAAGATTAAGAAACTATAATGACATGATCTATTTAATCTCTTTTTTCCCCCATTTTATGATTACTGATTACTTTTTCTCTCCCTTTAGTAAGGAGGTTGAAATCAGTGGTGCTTTACCACTGAGCTACAACCAGTGTCTGGATAAATTGGTTGGCCTGAAACTTGAAATCCTCCTGCCTGAGACTCCTGATTCACTGGGATTACAAGCACACATCACCACACCCAAGCTCAATGGATTTGTTATATTTGAGTGCTTACATGAAATTTGAATACAGTGACTAATCAATATAGGAGTCAAATTTGACTCCTATATTGATTAGTCACTGTATTCAAATTTCATGTAATCAATATAGGAGTCAAATTAAGCTTTCACATGATTCAAATGCTAAGCAAATTTCTCAAGAACTACTGAAGAATCTTAACCCTAGCAAGACTTTTCTTAATTTTTTTAACTTGTAGATGGATACAATACCTTTATTTTGTTTATTTATTTTTTATGTCGTGCTGAGGATCAAATCCAGCACCTCAAAAATGCGAGGCAAGCACTCCACTGCTGAGCCATGACCCCAGCCCTACACCGGTCCTTTTAACCACAGATAAAAGTAATTGTTAAGTCCCATGTAGTGGTGCATGCCTATAATCCCAGCAATTCGGGAGGCTGAAGCAGAGGTGTTTAAGTGGCCAGCCTGGGCAATTTAGTGAGACACTGTCCCACTACAGAAAATTAAAAAAAAAAAAAAAAAAATGAAGCCTGGTGTGGTGGCACATGCCTGTAATCTCAGCAGCTCAGGGAGGCTGAGGCAGGAGGACAGCAAATTCAAAGCCAGCCTTAGCAATTTAGCAAGGCCGTAAGCAACTAGTGAGGCTCTGTGTAAAAATAAAAAATTAAAAGGGCTGGGGATGTAGCTCAATGGTAAGCATCGTTACTAACAATGCCTAGTACTAATAAAAAAATTATTAATTTCTCAATATTCTCTTTCAATGACTCCTAAGGCACAAAATATACTGTGACCCCCCCTACTAGGACAAACTTATCCACTGAAATAGAAAACTAATATCTGCAGAATAAGTATTAAAATACATGAAAACTCAAAAAGATTTATGAATTCTAAAAGTAACTAACATAAAAGAATTTCTTAATACCTGGATACACATTTTCAATTGCAAAATAGAGAAGCACTAGAACCTGGCTAAAAAAGAATTAAACCATTCTTAAGTGGATGAGACTTTGTATAGTTATTTGTTAAGTTCTACATATTCTCTGTATGCACGTACTAGCTAACCAGAAAATTCTTCTAAATATTGGGAGAACAATTAGTCTTTAATAAAGTATTAAAGAAATCCTTCTTAGGCTATGACACTAAACTTGAGACCTTTTTTTTTGATGCTGTTCTGAGGAATCTAACCCAGAATCCTTTACCAACTTCCCAGACCTTTTTTATTTTGACATAGGGTCTCACTAAGTTGCTGAGGCTGACCTTGAACTTGTAATCCTCCTCTCTCACTCGCTGGGATTATAGGTCTGTGCCATCATGCCCAGCAACTTGAGACATTTGCTTGGAGAGAAAGTTTACCTTTACTTTTCTGCACTATGAGTTGAAATATCTGTCTTTTCTCAGCAGAATGGATTAAATGTCTAACAGAAAAATGGGTACAGAATTATTTAGTCCACCTTACCTATGGGGGAAAGAATACTATTCAATGAATCAGACAGGATTCATCGAGTCTGTCAGGATGTGTGACCATTTCTGCAGAAGAAAGAACACATCTATACAAGCACTTACCAAGACAGTTGCAAGCCGGAGCTTCTGATTCTTTTGTTGCAGCCGCCAGCTTTTTTGCAGGGTTACTAAGAAAGTTCACGGCATTATTAAAACTTGTCTGTACACCATCTACCATTGAAAAATCTAATGTTTCAACACTAGATGAACAGACTGTCTCTTCAGTTTTGATAGAAACCACTCTAATTCCTCCTGAACTTCCTGCATTTACATTCCTGAGAATATGTGCAGGGTCTGGTAAGGGTGTCTCATAACAGACACCAGGCAATGTTGTCAGTCTCTGATGCACAAGATGCTCTTGAATATCTTCTTGAAACTGTGTTTGGTCATCAATAGCCATCACATTAGCACACTGGTTAGGTGGAAAGGAGGCCAGGGGCAAAAGATGAGCTTTCTGATTGACATTCACTGTTGACTGTACCTGAGAATTACAAGCTTTGTCTGTAAACTGCTGCCCATCAGATTCTGTTTTGTTAGGAAGTAATGGGAGAGAATCCAATGGTTCAACCTTCATCATTTTTTGCTGTACTGATTCAGTGTATCTCTCAAATTTTATCTGAGTGAGTGGAGGAAATAATTTTTTCTGTTGTAGGGATAAACTGGCTTGAGTCAGTGGTTTGAGTACTTTACCAAAATGAGGAATTTTCCCCAGCAGAATAGGAAAATCATGTGACCCAAATTGACCAAATCTTTGAAATTTGGATGCTACCCAAATATCATGTAACTTACTATACTCATAGGACAACTGCTCCTGCTGCTTCTGCTCGTTTTCTTGACAGTTTATAGCCAGAGGCCTCTTTTTCCGACGATCTCTTGATGGGATAGATTTTGTCTTTTTCTGGGTTGTGTTCTTTCGCTTTGGTAATGATGGAGCTTGATTATTTTGCACACTTGGTGGTGGTTTCTGTTGAATTGTGCCCTTCTCCTGACTCATTTTTTGCTGCACGTTATACGGAACAATGCTGGTTGGGGTACTTTCAATATTCTTTTCCTCTGGTTTTACATAGTTGAAATTAATGATTGATGCAAGTTGTGTTAATTGTGTTGCAACATCTTCTTCAATTTGACTGTAGGATACATCTTGACTTGATGGATCATCTTTTGAATTTAAACTTTTATTACTGTCCAATAACTGGTTAGATTGCTCCAATTTATTACTTCTTGGCGACAAGTGAGGCAAGTCACTAGTTCTGCCTTCCAATGCACTTTTATTGGTATCAATATTAGATGAATTTGATTTTGGGGAAAAAAGGGAGTCCGAATTTGATACTTTTGAATGTTCATGTGGTTCTGCAGATGCTTGGTTAGTGGCTGAGCTGTGCTGTGACTTGGACATGGTATTTTGGCCATTGAACACTACTGTGTTGCATGAACTTTCCTTTTGGAGAGGTGGACAGTTATGAAGGGTTGGTGAGTTTGGGTCATTGAGGTCTTTTGTTACAGAATAGAGGATAACTTTGTAACTATTACGGAAACAAGCTGTTGTCTGATCTGTTTCTTCATCCTTCTCTGACTTCGATGGTGAAGAATTCTCTGATGGGGTTTCTGACAGTTGTGTGAGGGCCTCTATGGCGACCAATTGTTCTATAGTTAAATTCCTATCTTGCATCATGGATAAAATACATGATGTAACTGGAGACCCATCTTTTGTTTCTTTACGTGGTATGTTCTCAGGAGGTTTTGGTTGATCACCTTCATTGTATGCATTAGTATGACTATTTAAGTTTGCAGAATTTTCAACGAATATGCAGTTAAAGCCAGGCTGTGGGAAGGGTAACATATGACTCTTCCCCTTGAGATGACCACCACTTGCACTAGAAGGAATAGAGCTCATGGCATTGTTATGATTGGCAGTATCTTTCAAAAATTTACATGGATTGTTTTCCAATGACTTATCAAATTCTTCAATATTAAATTTGTTAAATGACACATTTGTTTCACTTGGTAAACACTGTACATTTGTAATGCCATTACTTATTGTTGGTACAAACAACTTAGGAAGTTTAATTTCTTCCTTATCATCTTCAGAGTTTTTTGATTTTTCAGCCTCTGTTACACTTTCTCCTTTGACCTGATCTGTTAAATGTATTTTCTTGTTTTGTGTCCACCTCTCCACCTTGATACCTGTCATGCTTTCTTCATTTTTAGTTACATTTTCAAGGGGATGTGTATTCAATTCCAAACTCTTTTCTTCCCCATAACCACATCTGCTGAATTCCATGGATTCTGACTTCGGGCCATTTACTGATTTGTTGTCAAAATCTACCTGTAAAATAAATACAGAAATTACCCGTATTAACTACTTAAATATCAAAGTTACAACAAAAGGAACTTTATAATTTAATATCAACGAAATGTGAAGTCTCTATGGATATAACCTAAAAGATTATTATTTCTGCCTTTCATACATTCAGATAAGTCATAAAATACCAAAAAGTAGAATACAGGATGAGAGAAAAAAAATTAGAAACTATCATAATATCATGCAGATTAATGTCAAAACTTCATGTCTATTTTCTTTTCTCTTTTTGGTAGCATGGATTAAACCCAGAGGCACTTAACAACTGAGCCAAATCTCCATTCCTTTTTATTTTCAATTTTCAGACAGAGTCTCACTTGGTTGTTGTCCTCAACAAATCTTTGTTGCTTTGAACTTTCAATCCTCCTGCCTCAATCTCCTGAGGTGCTGGGATTCTAGGTATGTGCTACCACACACAGCTCAAAATCACATGTCTTTTAAACAAACATCCATTCCTTTTTCCATATGTAGTTATAAAATATTTAATATTGGCTTCATTCAATGGGCAATATCAATCATTTAAATGCTAATTGAATTGACAAAAACCTTACATACAAAAAAAATACAAATCCTAATTGTTGAATTTTCACAAAATGAATAGTGATGTACCCAGTTCTTAAGCAAGAAACTCCTCTGTCCTGTCTTCAATCAGCCTTCAACAGATAAATATTGTCCAGATAAGTAAGATCATAGACTTCTTTCTTTTCTTTCTTGGTACTGGGGAGTGAAACACGGATTCTTTGACTCTGAATTACACCCCTTTCCTTTTCATTCTGTATTCTGAGACAGGGTCTCACTAAGTTGCTTAGGACCTCATTAAATTGCTGAGGCTGGCCTTGAACTGGCAATCGTCCTACCTCAACCTTCCAAACTTCTGGGATTACAAGCATGTGCCACTGGACCCAGCACATCATAGATTTCTTATGCTTATTTTCAAAGTTTACATTATACTTTTGAGATACATCTACCTTGTTAGGTATACTTATACTCCATTAATTCTCACTACTGTAATTTCTACACTGACTAACCAACAATTTATTGCTCAATACAACATACATAAACTACTTAGCATTTCAGAAACCCTGAGTTCCATATTCAGCAATGTAAAATGAATTTTTTATAAAAATTAACCACTGAGCAAATGCACTGTGTAGTTGATAAGTTAACAGACTTGCGTATATCTAGAGTTAAAAATATCTGGGTTTTTTTTGGTATGTGTGTGGTATTACAGATTGAACCACCATGCATAGCAAAAGTTATCTCTTTCTTAATACTAGAGGAAATTTTGATTCCAATTCATAGAATACAACAAATATGAATTCTAGTCAAAATAAGCATCAAACACAAACATACACACACAGAGGTATTGGGTATTGAACCCAGAGGCACTTTACCACTGAGGCATATCAAAGCCCTTCTTATTTTTTTGTTTTTAGATAGGGTCTCACTAAGGCTAGCTTTGAACTTGTGATCTTCCTGCCTCAGCCTTCCAGAGTCAATGGGATTACTGGCATGCACCACTGCTCCAAGCACTACAATTGTTTTGAAACAAAGGTATTTGTTTAAAAGGAAAGAGGTTTCAGGATAAACAGATGGTCAGTTTGCCAAAATAGACATGGCTTATATCAGAGTTCAGAAAACTTTTCCTGTCAAGGATAGAGAATAAACATTTTGGACTTTATAGCCCATACATCTCCATTACAACTACTCCTGTTATAATGGGGGGAAAAAACAGCCAGATAATTTGGGAGAAAAAAAAAATGTGGCTCTATTCCAGTAAAACTATTTATGGAAACAAAAATGTGAATTTCGTGTAAAATTTACAACACCTACAAACACAAAGATGAGTAAGGAAAGATAGTCCTCCTCAATACATATAAAATTAATAGGCTGAGGACATAGCTCAGTGGTAAGAGTACTTGGCTGGCACACTAGATAAGACCCTGGCTTTGATCACCAACACAAGGTGGTGGGGGTAGCATGGGGTTTGACACCTACAATGTAACAGTAATGAAATAAACAAGTGCAGATATGATGTTATCATCCCTTTTCTTGTGAGACCCATGAACATTTATCTAGAACATTTATCTAGCCCAGATGAAACACCAGTAAGATAAAACCAAAAATGCTAACACTACTTATATCACTGCAAAATGGAACTGAAAATTTCATTTTTCTTTTTTACAGATATGCATATCTAAGTACACTGAGGATACATTGCCCAACAATGATATATTGAAGTTCTTTTAAGAATTATGTACCAGAAGATCTTCATAACAAATTCATATTAATTAATGGGTTTAATTAAAAACAGCAGAACTTTGTTACTAAGCTTATTCCATCACTTTAAAACACTAGGTGCCATAGATCTGTAAATATGTGAAAACATGCCTTGACACAGCCATCTATTAAAGTAAGACTTAGAAAACAGTTTTGTGAGCAGGTCGCTATGGCTCAGGAGCTACAGGAGGCTGAGGGACAAGGACCACAAGTTTAAGGCCAGCCCAAACAATCAAGTAAGGCCCTAGGCCCCACAAACAAAAAAGGCTGGGGAAGCAGCTTCATGTTAAAGCATCCCTGGATTCAATATCTTATGATATACACAAAATAAGTAAGTAAATACATATATAGAAAACAGGTCGGTGGATTCCATTTTGGTGGAAGCCAATTATATTTCCTTTTTCTGTTTTCTCAAAAGTAACCAGTGAATTACAAAAGCATTCTATTAAATGTGTGTGCATGTGTGTTCTTACATGGTTAATCTTTTTCTGATACCTGCTGTTTATATTGCAACTGGGTGCCTATGATATCTCTGTAGGGTGGGGAATTCAAGTTCAGGTGTGGTCAAAAGTTAATAATCTAGGCCTGGCATGATAACTCAAACCCAGTGATTTGGAACGCTGAGGCAGGAGGGATCTCAAAGTTTGAGATGTTGACAATTTATGGAGACCTTGTCTTCAAATTAAAGACAAAACAAAAACAACAGGGAGAGGACTGTGGTTGTAGCTTAGTGATAAAGAGTGTTTGCCTAGCATGTACAAGGCCCCAATACCACAAGAAAAAAATAGTTAATTATAGAAAAATAATTTTGAAAGGAAGACTCAGAGTGTAGCTGAGTGGTAGAGAACTTGTACAACATACATGAGGACCTGAGTTCAATCCTGAGTACCAGAAACAAAAATAAAACAAAACAAAAGAAGTAAAAGTATTTATTGGCAGTGACAGGATCAAACCCAGGGCCTCATGCACACTGCATGAGCACTCTAACACTGAACTACATCTCAAGTTCCTGAGTTTTGCAATTTATCCTGTAACATAACAATTTCAAATTTGAAGATTTATTGTACTGTTAAAATTGTACATAATGACAGTGTATTTTATATAAATAATATACATGTAAAAGCATTTATATATACATGTACATAATGTTTTGAAGGTTATTATAACAAATGATTAAATATATCCAAATGTTCATTTATAGGAAGTAGATTGTGATGCCTACATAGTACTATGTAGCCGCAAAAGAGTAAAAATATTTCCATTCCTATGGGCTGGGGTTGTGGCTCAGAGGTAGAGCACTTGCCTAGCAAGTGTGAAGCACTGGATTTGATCCTTAGCACCACACGAAAATAAAAAGGTATTGTGTCCACCTACAACTAAAATTTATTTTCAAAAAATTTATTTAAAAAAAAAATTTCCCATTGCTAATACGCAAAGTTGTCCAGGATACACTGGTACTTTAAAAACTGAGGGCTGAACCCAGCGCTGGTTTGGCACAGGCTTATAACCCCAGGTGGTAGGAAGGCTGAAGCAGAATAATTGCAAAACTGAAAAAAAAAAAAAAAAAAATTAAGCAGCTTAGCAAGATACTCCCTCAGAAGAAAAGAAAAATGGCTGGGGTTGTACCATAGTGATAGAGGGCTTGATGTTAGATACTGTAAAAAAAAAGGAAAAAGTGAGTCTGGTAGGGGAAGGAGAAGCAGCTTGGGAGTGAACACTTGATTAGCAAGCTGGGGTCATAGGGTTCAATTCTCAGCACCAAAAATAAATAGAACATAGAGCCTGTGTAATAGAAAAAAAAATTAAAAGGAAGGCCTGGGGATATAGCTCAGTTAATTGGTAGAGTGCTTGCCTCCCATGCAATCCCCAGCACCACCCCCCCACACACACACACACATACAAAAGAAACTAACTATTACCTAGTATGCAGAGAAAAAAGAAAAAGAAATACTAGTTGTCATGTTGACAGTAGGAAGGTTAGAAGCAAGAATACATAAGAAAAATACATACTTTTAGTTGCAGTTGGACACAATATGTTTATTTTTATATATTTTTATGTGGCGCTGAGGATTGAACCTAGAGCCTCACACGTGCTAGGTGAGCGCTCTACCACTGAGCCACAACCCCAGCCCAGAAGCAAGAGTTTTTCATTTTTATTTCTTTTTGGTAGTACTGGGAAATTGAACCCAGAGGCATGCTAGGAGACAGCTACACTCACAACCCTGTTTAATACTGAAATAGAGCTTTCTAAGAAAACCAAATTTAAAAGCAAAGGAAAGCTGGTGTGGTGGAGCATGCCTTTACTCCCAAGAACTCTGGAGGCTGAGGCAGGATGATGCAAGTTCAAGGACAGTCTCCCTAATTTAGCAAAGACCTTAGAAATTTACCAAAACAAATAAAAAGGGCTGGGAACATAGCTCAACAAGCTTCACTGGGCTACATTCCCAATACCCACAGCCCAGGCCCCCAAAAGGCAAAGGAAAGATTAAGCAGGTACCCAAAGGGTTACCTAAAGATTCTAAAATGAGAAGAATTCTAAAATGAATACGTGGCTCCAAAGCCTCAAGCAGAAGAATCACAAATCCAAGGTTAGTCTCTGAAACTTACTAAAAGCCCGTCTCAAAAAAAAATAAATAAATAAATTGGCTGCAGTGTTGCACGCCTATAATCACAGTGACTGGGGAGGC